GATGTGCAAATGAAATGTCGATCCAAGGAGAGGGCAAACTGACACAAGAACAGAAAACGAAACACCACGTTTTCACTCGTAAGAGAATGCTGAACAACGAGAACACAAGGACACGGGAGGGAAACATCACAAACTGAGGTCCTGTTCTCATGCTGAACGCCAAGTCAACTTGCTGCTCCTCTAATGAGTGCAAGTTGCTCCTGTAAGGCTCATTGAAGGCAGATGTACCAGGAGGAACTGAGAGAGTCAAACTGGGAGAGAACATGTGACACCAGGACGTCCCGTTTGCTGATTTCACCTGGCTCCTCTGATCGCAGGCTCCTATCTTGGGAGGACTAAGAAATTAAGAAGTGGGCCGGACGCGGTGGCTCAAGCCTGTAATCCCAGCACGTTGGGAGGCCGAGGCGGGTGGATCACGAGGTCAAGAGATCGAGACCATCCTGGTCAACATGGTGAAACCCCATCTCTACTAAAAATACAAAAAATTAGCTGGGCATGGTGGCACGTGCCTGTGATCCCAGCTACTCAGGAGGCGGAGGCAGGAGAATTGCCTGAACCCGGGAGGCGGAGGTTGCGGTGAGCCAAGATCGCGCCATTGCACTCCAGCCTGGGTAACAAGAGCGAAACTCCGTCTCAAAATAAATAAATAAATAAATAAAAATAAAAATAAAAAAAGAAATTCAAAAGTATAAAAGTGCCACAAATCACTCACACCATTGTCAATAGGACAATTTGTAGCTGGGTGAATGGAAGAAAGAGTTCTAGTCATCACTTCCTCGGTTTCCCTGGATCTGCAGTCTCCAGGTGTCACTACTGAACTAACAGGCCACAACTCCACAGCATTACCTGGGGGAAAAGGGCCCTTTTTCTTCCTTTTCCTCATCATCACCTTGACGTTCTGTAAATAAATTCAGAGAAGCAGGTCACATTAAGCAAATCACACTTCACATATGACCAAATCAGTGTTTAGTCACAGCACAAGCACAGAAATGCTCTCAGGGCAAGAATACAAATTCTGACAGAAAGATTCTAGGGTGCCCTACATGAAGCCTGGTGAGTAGGTGAGCCTGCTTTCCAGATGCACAGGCCAAAATCTCCCTCTATGGGTACACCATAATGCCATATTCTCTCCCTGAGTCTATGCAAAGTTAAACCAATTTTTTTCCCAGAAAGTTTCCAAAAATTAGTCAAACTCTTTTCTGGCAGTGTGGCTGCAATACTGACTTATCTCACCAGGTAGCAAGGGCATTGAATGGTCAGAGGCATCTAGACATGAAACTGGACAATATGTAAACTCTAACCACACCTGATTGAAAAAGAATCTGTGAGCTTTGCGCAGTGGCAGTATCGTAGCCAATGAGTTTTAGCTGAGATGAGATTATCGCTCATGGAAAACTTTCCCCAATACCCCGCCATGATGACAAGCAATAGAGTTGCCATTGACAATTTTTGACAGTCTCTAGGGAGAAGGAATAAAAAAAGACAAAACAAAAACACACAAAAAAGAATCTGCAGGCCGGGCACGGTGGCTCACGCCTGGAATCCCAGCACTCTGAAAGGCCGAGGTGAGCACTTCACGAGGTCAGGAGATCGGGACCATCCCGGCTGACACGGTGAGAGCCTGTCTCTACTAAAAATACAAAGAAATTAGCTGGGCACGGTGGCACGTGCCTACAGTCTCAGCAACTCGGGAGGCTGAGGCAGCACAATCGTCTGAACCCAGGAGGCAGAGGTTGCAGTGACCTGAGATCGTGAAACTGAACTCCAGCCTGAATGACAGAGGGAGACTGCATCACAAAGAAAAGAAAAAACAAAATCCGTGATTTCAAAGGACAAGATAGGGGGAAAATTTAAGGTCAGGAGTTCAAGACCATCCCGGCCAATATGGTGAAACCTCGTCTCTACCAAAAACACAAAAATTAGCTAGATGTAGTGGTGAGCACCTGTGGGCCCAGCTACTCAGGAGGCAGAGGCAGGAGAATCACCAGACTCCACAAAGTGGAGATTGCAGTAAGCCAAGACGGCGCCACTGCACTCCAGCCTGGGTGACAAAAAAAGACTCCAACTCAACAACAGCAAACAAGACGTGATGCTACCAAGAACAATCAGACCGGCCATTGCACGGATGGGGCGGAGAGCCGGGGTGAGCCTTCCTTTATGGAAACCTATCAGCAAGGTAAAGAGGAAATGTTTTCAGCCTGGTTTCAAGGTGACTGTGCAGCTAAGCCAGCTGACTTAAAAGAGATCAATGCTAAAGCTCGGAGCAGTGAAACCTGGGGAACAATAACTCCAAATAAATAGGCAAGGCTCCCAGTTTCCTTAACAAGAAATAGAAAGTCCACGAACATCGTTCAGGGACAGATGACATCATTACAGGTGATGAGATACCAAATCAAAGCTCAGAGACTTCACAGACACCTACTGTACACTTCCTGCACTCAGGTGACCATGAGTTTGTCACACTGGCCTGGGGTCTGGTAACTTGACACGTGGGCCTGGGAGACAAACTCATGGCATGAACTGAGGAAGAGATAAAAATTCCCTGATATCAGGCCGGGCGCGGTGGCTCACGCCTGTAATCCCAGCGCTTTGGGAGGCCGAGGCAGGTGGATCACGAGGTCAAGAGATCGAGACCATCCCGGTCAACATGGTGAAACCCCGTCTCTACTAAAAATACAAAAAAGTAGCTGGGCATGGTGGCGCGTGCCTGTAATCCCAGCTACTCAGGAGGCTGAGGCAGGAGAATTGCCTGAACCCAGGAGGCGGAGGTTGCGGTGAGCCGAGATCGCGCCATTGCACTCCAGCCTGGGTAACAAGAGCGAAACTCCGTCTCAAAAACAAAACAAAACAAAACAAAACAAAAAAACAAAAAAAAAAACGCTCCCGCCAGAGCGGGGTTCGTCCTCCCCTTCACGTTTTCCTCTCACCCGCCCCACACCCCTTCCACAGCTGATCTGTTCTTTCACTTCCAGGTCACTGAGTTTCCCATTTAAAAATATAAACGATACAGAAAGAAAAAGACAACCAGGCGCCCATATTTCCACCACCTGGAATTAAGTACTATTCACACACGTACATATTTTTCTTCCAAACCATTTTAAAGTTACTCTCTTTTTAAATCATACATGCTTAGCATAGACCATACCGCCAGTAGAGAAAAAGTACAGATATGTACGATTTCTGATCACCTTAAGTTCAAAATCACTTGTGTTAACATTGGGGCGACGCCGATGGAGTCGTGTTCTTCTGGTGTATCTGCAGAGAGAAGAACGTATGTTCCAGCTAGACTGCCCCCTGCCCGCCCCCGCAGAAGAAAAATCAATAAAGGCCATACATAAACATGTTTTTTGTAAAATTGAGCTTAGACTTATCTTACTAATACTTCATTTAATAGTGCATGAACTTAACTGAAGACAGTAAGACAGAAACAAAAATGGAATTCCTCAACTCCGATCGCAGAGACACTGTTCTAAAGGAATGCTCTAAAGGGAAACACACATCAGATCAAGGCGAAGGCGGTAGGGTTTGCAGCGGTTTTCTTCTGTGCTCGGGGTTGGCTGGTTGCTTGTTGAAACGACACGGTTCTCTGTGATATTGGAGGACTTTCCATTTCAAGCGGAATGCTGCCTCTCCAGCTTAACCGTATGTGAAAAGAACCGGTTTACACTGCGATCCTACTCGTTCCAGGCTGCGAATCAAAAGCCATTATTTGAAGAAGGGCGCGCAGGCTCCGCGGCCGCCGACAGCGCGCTCGGTCACGGACGGTGCGGCCCCGCCTCCCTGGGAGAGAACAGACGGGGCGGGGGGAGGGAGAGGCCGACGTCACTTCCCCGCCGGCTCCGGCCGCGGTCGCTGGGCTGAGTGGCGGAGGAGCGGGCGAGCCTGGGAAGGCGCTGACGATGACGTCACGGAGGGGGCGGCCTCTATGCAGATGAGGCGGCGCAGGGGCTGCTGCTCGGCCACCTGCTGCTTCCCGCCGTGGGAGTTCCCCGCGTCGGAGCGAGTCCGGGACCGCGGGTCGGCCCCGAGGGTCCCAGCTGTGTGTCCGGGCTCGGAGGGCCGGGGTGCGGCGCCCGCGGCAAGTGACCGTGCGTGTAAAGGGCGAGGCGCGTGAGGCCTTGTCGGGGCGGGGGCGCGTGTCCTCATACTTACCTGGCAGGGGAGATACCATGATCACGAAGGTGGTTTTCCCAGGGCGAGGCTTATCCATTGCACTCCGGATGTGCTGACCCCTGCGATTTCCCCAAATGTGGGAAACTCGACTGCATAATTTGTGGTAGTGGGGGACTGCGTTCGCGCTTTCCCCTGGCCTTTCGTGGTTTAAGGAAAGATTTGTTGTTGCAATAGGTTCGTGTTTCTGTTTATTTTGCGTCAATGTTTTGGGCCAGAATCAAGTAAGTCTAAGGGATGTTGTTTTACCCACATTCTACTACATAACGGCATTTTAAGAAACAAGTTCTCTCATTCGCTGGAGTGCAGCGTTTGCGGCTGTCTCATCTCTGTTGGGCTCTGGCAGAGCTGAGTTCTGGGCCGCGCTGTTTATGCAGAGATTGCTCTGCGGACATGGAGGCCAGCCTTCAGGTTGGTCCGCGCTCTAGCCTAGATAACAGAGAATAAAAAGACCCTGTGCCTTATTACTATTATTATTTTACTACTTATGCTTTATTATTTATTTAGAGACAGAGTCTTGCTCTGTAGCACAGGCTGGAGTGCACGGCGTGATCTCAGTTCACTGCAAGTTCAGCTCCCAGATTCAAGCCGTTTTCCTGCCTCAGCCTCCAAGAGTAGCTGCGATCATAGGTGCATGCCACCATATCCAGCTAATTTTTATATTTTTAGTAGAGAGGGGATTTCACCATATTTGCCAGGCTGGTCTCAAACTCCTGAATTCGAATGATATGCCTGTCTCAGCCTCCCAAAGGGCTGGGATTGCAGGCATGAGCCACCTCGCCCAGCATATTTATGCTTTAAATGGGACGTTTCATGAGGGGATAATTTTCTTGTTGAATTTCTAACATGAGAAACAGGACTGGTTTGGGCGTGTCCTGTCTGAGCAGACACAGGACACCACGGTTTTCGGTACGACAAGGGACACAACTTGTTCAGTGTGCCTTATGATGGTGAAAACTCCCTTTAAAAATCACATGTGAGTGATAACACTTGACCTCACATACCGCTTGAGAAAAAAAGAAAAAATAATAGATTTAGCTGTAAATCAAATTAATGATCTTGATAGTTTGGTACGATAAAAGAAATAAAGTTGATAGCAGAGAGGAATCTGATGCTTTTGAACAATTTTAATAATGTAAATATTTAATATATAAAGACATCAGAAAGTCCATTACATTTCTTTTTTTTTTTGAGACGGAGTTTGGCTCTTGTTATCCAGGCTGGAGTGCAATGGCGCGATCTCGGCTCACCGCAACCGCCGCCTCCTGCGTTCAGGCAATTCTCCTGCCTCAGCCTCCTGAGTACCTGGGATTACAGGCACGCGCCACCTCGCCCAGCTAATTCTTTGTATTTTTAGTAGAGACGGGGTTTTCACCATGTTGACCAGGTTGGTTTCGATCTCTCCACCTTGTGATCCACCCGCCTCGGCCTCCCAAAGTGCTGGGATTACAGGCTGGAGCCACCGCGCCCGGCCTAGTTCATTACATTTTTTAAAAATCAGTGTGACTCGGCTGGGTGTGGTGGCTCATGCCTGTAATCCAAGCACTTCGGAGGCCAAGGCGGGAGGATCACCTGAGGTTGGGAGATCAAGACCAGCCTGACTAACATGGTGAAACCCCATCTTAAAAAAAAAAAAAATCAGTGTGACTCTTGACAAATTAGAATGGTTTAATAATCTTGGTTATGCTGGGTGCGGTGGCTCACACCTGTGATCCCAGCATTTTGGGAGGTCAGCCAGGGGGATCATGAGGTCAGCAGTTTGAGACCAGCCTGGCCAACATGGTGAAACCCCATCTCTACGAAAAATGCAAAATTAGCCAGCCATGGTGACCTGCACCTGTAATCCCAGCTACTTGGGAGGCTGAGGCAGGAGCGTTGCTTGAACTCAGGAGGCAGAGGTTGCAGTGAGTAAAAATTACATCACTGCACTCCAACCTGGGTGATGGAGGGAGACTCCGTCTTGAAAAATCATCATCATCATCATCTTGACCTAAAAACTGTTACATACTATATTTTATTTCAGATTTTATTATAAAGTAGAAAATAGTGGTAGTATAATATTCTAGTACATACAAGACTTAGGTTTGTTTTGGCCTGAAAATCTTAAGGCTGGGTGTGGTGGCTCATACTCATAATCCCAGCACTTTGGGAGGCCAGGAGTTCGAGACCCAGCCTGACCAACATGGTGAAACCACGACTCTACTAAAATACAAAAATTAGCGGGGCATGGTGGTGCGTACTTGTAATCCCAGCTACTCCGGGGGCTGAGACACAAGAATTGCTTGAACCCCGGAAGCAGGTTTGCAGTTAGCCAGGATCATGCCATTGCACTTCAGCCTGGGTGACAGAGGGAATCTCTGTTTGAAAAAAAAAAAAAAGAAAGAAAGAAAGAAAAGAAAGTTTTAATTAAATAATTATATTGAACTTCCTGAATTTCTTGTGCTGGTTGTACTGGTCAAAGAAGCAAACGTTACTGCCAATATCTGTTTAAATGTACAAACAATTAGACCTGGCTCCGTGGCTCACGCCTGTATCCGAGCACTTTGGGAGGCCGAGGCGGGTGGATCACTTGAGGTCAGGAGTTTTGAGACCAGCCCAGCAAATGTGGTGAAACCCTGTCTCTACTAAAAATACGAAAAATTACTTTGTATTTGTGCCACTGCACTCCAGCCTGGTTGACAAAGTGAGACTGTCTCAAAAAAAAAAAAAAAAAAAAAAAAGGCCAGAGAGAGAGACCTCAGTCGTTTCCAGCTGCTGTGACTTATTGAATCATCTGTCTTGGGAATACCATGAAATTAATTTACTGTGGGCAGCAATAGCCGCCATTTTGTGGTCTGCTCAGCCATGTTGTGGTTTGCTTAAGCTGTTAAGTTTCAGTCTACTCCCCGCTGATAAACTGATAAGTTTCAGTCTACTGAAACTTACTTAGGCCGGAATTTCCCATTAGGCCGGAATTTCCCATTGGCAAGCTACCCTTGCCCCGCCTCTCTGCCTGCGCTTATTTAAGCTGTGAACTTAGCTACAATAAAGGAGACTTGATCAGACTCCTGTCTTGTCTCCATTTCTCGCATCTCCTGCCCGTCCATCCCCACTCCCTCCCTTCGAGCTCCCATTGTTGTCCTGCAGGTCGGGACATCTCACAAGTAAAGCGATGAGAAATAGGTAACAATAATGACATTGCACTTGATCATTCCATGCCCTTAGACAGTTACAGGGCCATGGATGGCGATCTTTTCAGGAGAAAAATAAAGGCTGGTGCAAAACACATAACGAAATGTAATTTGAGTACATCAGCTTTTAGGCAGTGTCACCGATCAGGAATTTAGAGCAAGAAGGCAAGTTGGATTCTAATAGCTAGAAAGAATGTTTCATTACTTTTAACTTTCAAAGAGCATGACGGTGTCTAATACCACAGTTACTTTATTATCTCGGAAGAAAGTAACATCCGTGGTGGATCAGAGTTTTAAATAACGAAGTTGCAAAATACAGTGTAAATACACCAAAAAAGCCTGCAGCTGTAGTAAAACACTAAATGACTGTCTG